GAGCAGGTGCCGTCGGGGTCGCTCTGCAGGCTGTAGTGCTGGTTCCTGGGGGAGATCTGCTTCCCGTCCTTGAACCAGTAGATCTGAGGGAGGAAGCAGACACCGGTCAGGGCGGGGCCCCGGGGCTACATGCTAGTTCTGGGCGGCCAGCCGGGGAGCTGACCCCCAGGCTGCATCCTGCTGCACTTCACAAGCTACTCATCCTCTTCTGGTGTCTAAAAAGACGCTCATCAGGAGGCTGGTGACATCACCGCAGTTCCCCTGCTGCTGCTGGTCTCCCATGTCCCTGATGAAAACGTGTTACTCGGGAGGTCAAGGTAAAAAGTTATTTCAGACAATGAAACCAGGCCCCAAACACCAGTCTTTCCTCCGAACTGTCAGACATGCGGGACACGGTGTGTGTGCATGTGTGTGGGGGATCAGACACTGCTGCTTTACTTCCGGGCCCAGGAGCAAAGGTTATGGCCGGTCAGCTCTCCCCACTGTGTCAAAGGAAACACAGAAGTACTTAAACATAATAATTTTCAAATAATATCTTACCTTGGAGTGATAGAAAATTAAATGTGAAAAATAAAAATAAATCATGACTAAACAAAAAAAATTCCAAGTGGCCCAGCGTCCTCTTCCCGGGCCCTCTGTCCCTCCCTCACCTGTGGACAAGGCCCCAGGTCCCTGGGCCTCTCACTGTTCAGCGGTTGCTGCCGACCTGGCCTTGAACTGCGTGGTGGCTGAAGGTCACAGAGCCGGCATCCCTGTCTCGCCGGGACGGCTTCTGCACCTCGTCACCCACCTCGGGAGGGAAATACGCCCCAGCTTTGCTGTGGTCAGTTCTGTCCCCTGCGACTAAAAGCACTTCTCACTGGTTCCCAACAGAAGGAACTCAGCTCAGAGCCTACAGGTTTTTAAGAACTTCTTCCTGCGTGTAGATCAAGACGCAAGCTGAGACCACAGCTGGTGTGCAAGGTCCATTCCCTGTCAAAGCCTAGAAATAGCACAGACAGGACACACACGACCGAGACCTGCCACCGTAGCTCTTCCTGCCCTTAGTTTTCAGTCAGCTCCACATTTTCAGAAACTACAGCATTCATGTCCAGAACCTAAAAATTAACCATCCAACAGACGAGTGACTTTTGGCTCTACAGTTACGTTCTCTAAAGTGTGATACTTTGTACCTATCACACTCCGAGCGGTTGGATTATTTCCGATGCAACAGAGAAGCCGTGACGAGCCTGTGGCTTCTTCCTTCTGCACTCCTGCCCCTAGGCCACGCCTCAGAATCATGTCTTCTCTTAACCTGCACCTCTAGCACACTTGGAGTTCAACTTTCAAGTGAAAATTAAGAGGTAGTGCCGACGTTTTACAGAGTCTACGGATGGACAGGGCAGTACGAGAAATGAAAACGAGGGGAACCAGATTCCTTCCGATCTTCTCATGTCTCCGTGGAACGAGACATCAAGGGCAGAACAAGAAATTCTTTAAAAACAAGCTAAAAAAAGATGTGTATTTTTAACCATGATGACTATTCCAGACTCTAACAATCCCAAGGTAGCTTCTTGAGCATGTGCAGGAGAAACGGTTTGCACTAAACCAGGGAGGGCAGAAAAAGGCAGGCGGCCAGGAAAAGAGGAGGACGGGAAAGGAAGGAAGAAGCAAACCTGCCGATACGACCTCCTGGAAAACCAGCCTGGGACCCACAGCCGTGAAGGCTGCCACCCGCCCAGCAGGAATCAGCGACCCTGGAACCGGACCGCTGATCCTGCCCCGAGTAAGGCTTACAGAGAACGTGGGCCTTTCTGGGAGGATTCTGGGCAGGCAGGTTCCCGCCGAGGTCTGTTCCTAAGCTGCGAGTTGGTCCCTGTGCGGGCGCCTGCCCCATCTGTGAACAGGCCCCTGCGGGCGTGTCCAGATACCAGCAGCCTCCTCTAACTCCGGGTTACGCTCCAAGCCTCGCTTTACCGGGGGGAAGATGGGTCTGAACACCTACTGCTGCTCTATTTTGGTCTCTTTCTCTCTCTGTGGGGTTGGAACTTGATTTTAGGGGAAGAGTTCGGTGGTAAAACTTACTTGCCGCAAAAACAAAACAAAGGTTGGAACCATGGGGAGAGCACAAGGGAGTCACGGACACAGCGCCCCCCTCCACCGCGGCTCCTGACACCCCCCCACCCCCAGTGATGCCCTTCCCGCAGGGGCTGCGTTCCTCGCCCCCGTGTGCTTCCTTCACACGCTCCTGTCCCATCATAACGTTTCTCTTCCTCTTGAAACTGTTTCCATCATTTCCGCCACCATCTGGGTTTTCCCTGGGGACACACCTCTCCTCCCTCCAACCCTGTGGGCGGAGGACAGGCCCCAGTGGGGAATGTTCTAGGAACAATTTTTGCTGGCTTCTGCAAGAAACCTTAGAATTTTTACCATCCTGGACTAAACTCTGTATTAATGTCTCGGCTTTTGGCTGTGTCCTGTGATGGTGTAAACCTGGAGTTTCCATCTCTCACGGTGTCGCTTCTGTTCTCTTGAGCTCTAGGGAAAAGCGTCGTCCACCCTGCTGCTCTGTGGGGCCAGCGAGTGGTTACTCTGGTCTCTGTCTGAAGACAAGGCCCCTCCACCCAGCACCCCGACGTGCCTGCAGGGCACACCTCGTCCTCGAGGAACAGAGGGTCCTCCAGTCACCCTCCCGCACCTGGACCCCCCCGCCCCCGCCTCTGCAAACACAGGAAGCCCTTGTCTTGGAGACTAAAGGTCTGGTGTTCCCCTCAGCAGCGGCAGCACTGCTCTTCTGTGCGGTGCAGGCACAGGGCTCCAGTCCCAGCCTGGCCGCTCACAGCTCCCTGGCCTGGGGGAGGTGGCAGAGCTGCTCATGTGGATCTGGGTGTGACAAGGATGGCACCTTGAGTTAATGATGGGTGCGTGAAAAGCTCCTTGTCAGTCACCTGATGGTCACTGTCTCCTGTTCTATTCCGTTCCATTCCTGTTCCCAATCTATTCTAGTCCCTTTTCTTTTCCGTCCTGTCCCAGCCTATCCCTCCACCCTTGCTGGCTTCTGACGCCTCGTGACACAGCCCTGACCTTGCTCGGCTTCTCGAGGAGGGTTCTGCACTCCTGCTGCCACACGTGCTGGGCGCCGGAAGCCCAGCTCCCCCCTCCCCCTGGAAACAAGACAGTTGGGAGGCTGCGCGTCAGCTCACCTTTGGTTTTGGGCTCCCGGTCACCTTGCACGTGAAGGTCACTGGCATCCCCTCAAAGATCTTGTAGTGTCTCAGCTTCACCTGGAAGAGCGGGGCCACACCGTCCTCCGTGGCCACGTCGCCCCAGGGGGCCTCGTCCTCTGGGTCCTCCACGGGGCACCTCTCCAGCCGGTACTCGATCTCGCTGATGAGCCTCTGCTCGCAGCTGGACACCTTGTACTCCTGCGTCAGACAGAGAAGGGGCGCGTCATAACCCGTCCCCCGCGGTACCAAGTGCCCCTGAGCCTGGTCCCCGGAGGCAGGCCCCCAGGACAGTGACGTCTGCACCGTGGAAACAAACAAGTACGGGCCCAGCTCAACTCCATGCGAAACAGAACACCTGGAAGTTAGTGTATCTGATGCTGCAAATTGTCCTCAAGTCTTACCGTCCAGAAAAAAACCAACTATGAAGATGAATTTCTGTCTCGTTCTCCCTGGGGTGGTGAGAAGAAAGGAAAAGGCAGCAGTAATCCCAAAAATTGTTCCAAAAAGTGCACACGATGGCACGTGGGCCCCTCTGCCTGGGGGGGGACGGGGACCGCGGAGCAGCCTGTCCCATCAGATGAGTAACAGAGAAGTGGCGGCAGCTCCCCTCCTCCCGACGCCCCCCCCAAGCCTCTGCCTCCTCTCTGCAGCGAGGACCCCCACTCTCCACCCTTTCACAGAAAAAGTGGGTCAACTGTCAAAGGTTTGGTTAAAAAACACAGCAGCAAAGAGCCGGTCACACCCACAGCCGAGTAAGGTGGCCCTGAAGGTCTGCTTACAAAGTCCAGGGGAGACGGGGCAGCCCGTGGTGAAACAGTCTCTGCTGAACAGTAAATAAAAGATTGTTTTAACGAGGTTTTCTCAGAGGCCACTCAGCCTTTAAAAACCAGTCTGCTGGCTTTAGGGAAAGAATACAACAATATGAATAAAACGGCAGAAAAAAACAAGCTTTTTTGTCTCATAACTATGAAATTAATCAGTTTAAGAATTAGCTCTTTTTCCCCTAGGAAGATTTATCAAATGAGAAAATTTCCATGATTTAAAACTCAGAGTATCTACGAATGACAGGCTCCAATTCAAGCTTGTAAATAAATGACATGAAAACCACACTGCGGTGCTTCTGTCCCCCAGGCAGTAAACAAAACGGACGCGGCTCAGAGCCTGCGTAACTACCACACGGCGGTAAGCGCGGAAGCAGGCAAAGAGGGAGAAGCGGCGAGAACAGACACAGGGAAAGACCGGGACAGAAGGAAGGTGGAGGCGCGACCTTCTGACCGTCCAGAGGACTCCCTACAGAAGCGTGAGGGGACCCGGGGTCCTGCAACGACAGAAGGAAACAGGTGAAGAATTAGAACAGAACAGCGAGAACCTAGCAAGATTCCTAGTCTCTAAGGGAAGTGTCCGTGGTGGCCGTGTTTAACAGGAAAACGCTCGGATTTGGAAGGCTGGGCCCTTTCTCAACAGACCCGAGGCAGAGCTCACTGGATCCTTTAAGCCTGTGTTAAAAAGCTCTCTTTCCTCTTTAACGACATCTGGGGACTCCAAGCAGGAGCAGTGGAGATCACACGACAGCTCATGTCAAAGCCACAAGGTGACTCTGCTCGGTGTCAGCAGGGGAACGAAACAGCATTTCAGGTTTCCTGCTGACCTGTGATTTGTAACTACACACGTGGAGGAATATAGAGGCTTTTCTGCACAGTCACCTGGACGACATGGGAAATACTAGCTACTCCAGACAATTTCATTGAAGACCCGTTCCTTCACACAAACCCGTTCTGCACTGAAGCACAGGACAGGAAGAACGGAAAGATACTTGAAAGGAGGGAAATGGGTCAGTAGGAAGATGAAAGGAACCGGTGTCACAAGCGAAGTGACCCCATGAATCACGCAATGAACAGCTGGGAGGTGACCGGTGCCACCCACGCCCCGCTCTCTGACCCACCCTCGGCCTTCCACGGAGCTAGCTGGCCCCAGGACTGTGTCCCCAGGAGCGTGGGCAGAGGGGACAGGACCATATGCTTTCCGAAGAGGCCCGGGGCACAGGGTACCTGGCTGGCTGCCTCCTCTTCTGGTTCTGGAGCGCTGAGGATGGTGGCGCTGCCAGCCCCCAGCAGGCGGCGGGCCATCCTTTCCTCGTAGGTCAGCCTCTGGGCAGAGCAAGGACAGAAGACGCGGAATTAAGAGACGTCACGACTACACAGCAGTCCAGAGAAAGGACGACAACCACACGGTGCGAGGTTCTCTGTGACGGCTCCCTCTCCCCCTCCGGACGCCCGCACGCCCAGCAACCCCTCCTTCCCTGGTTTGCCTCCTCCTGCCGCCCTCCGGTCCTGCCAGCAGACCCAGGGCCGGGGGCCGGGTGACCCACGTGAGCACCACTCACTGACGGGCACAGACTGAAAGTAACTTCCGTAAAGTTAGACACGTGTCGTGTACTTACCCCTAATGATAAACACAGAGAAAAAAGACTTAAACAGCAAAAACGATCTTTTAAAGGGAATGTTATTTTCATAGCTATCTACAGGCTTCAGAAGAGCCTCATCAGGTCTGAGCCTGATGAGAGAGTTTTAGACCAGCGGGCAGAGATGGTCCTCCCTGCTCTGGGGGTGTCGCCCCGTCTGAGCGCACCTCCCAGGGGCTGGGGGACTGGAGGGGCCGTAGGCAAAGGTAAACACAATAATCCACGAAGGCCGCCTGCTCAGCTGAGACCCTCCACTTACGACCCGACTCGGGGTGGGCTGCCTGTGAAGGAGGCCGTATAACTTCTGCATCTGGTGACTGGTGCTTGGCGCCCAAATGCCGAGGAAGTGGCCACTTTTGTGTTCTGTCTGCGGGGCTGACTGCTGCTCCTGAGGGCGGGCTCTGAAATGACCACGGGCCCACTGGGAGCATTTAAAAAATAAGCATTTGATTCAAAACAGAGAATAACTGGTAACGCAGAATTAAAAAAAAATACGGCAAAACAAAACAGATGTTGCTTCAGATAAGCGTCCAAACTTCTGAATACAGGCACAGATTCTTTTGGAAACTCTCTAATCAGGAAAATACGCTGGGAAAATTCCCAACTTCCAGTCATTGCTGGTTCCAGTCCCAGCTGAATCCCAGGAGAAAAACAAGACGTGTGCCAGCGACAAACGGACCCCAGTCCAGTTACTCCCCTCAGTAAAGAAGGGCTGAGGATGAGGACAGGTGGATGTGGGTGCCTCAGTCCAGCAGGTTATTATTTCAATTCATTTTCTCACGTGTTAAAAAAAAACATGAATTTAATTTTCAGAGTTTTAAATACCTGCTCTCCTCAAAACCTTCCAAATTTTCACAGAGAACTATACTCATGCACCAGCAAAGAGGGCGGAAGGGACGGCCACCCTGCTTGTCCGATGCAGAAACATCAATCCCACGTCCAGGATGTCCCCAGAACGCAACTGCTACCCTCAGAGGCCAAATCTGCTTCCCAGCTCTGTGTGTAAACCACTATGCCGTGTAGATTTACAGGCTCCGTATAAGAAGCCAGAGTAAGTACAGAATGATATGTAACATCAGGAAAAAGCTGTCTGATGGTCTCATTTTCTAAAATAGGAAACCTCACTTTTCTTGTCTTTCTAAACTCTCAAGTGTGGAAATCTATATAAGTTATTGGAAATGCCATCCACCACTAAAAAAGACAAATGCAAATATGTATTTATATTAAAAATGTGATATAAATATAAATACACATAGTATAACAGAATAGCTTACAGAAGTCTTAGTCCACAAGGAATACTTAATCAAGGAGAAAAAGCTGGAGAGGTGCATTTACCTGGCTTGAAAAAGTTCCCATAAGTATTTGTTTTAATCTTTCAAAAGCTCTGCTTGACAGAGCCAGGGAAAACTTCCAGAGTGTGTACATTTGCACATACAATCGCTTATTTCAGGCAGAAGGTATTTCCCCTTTGTGAAATCTTCTCTTCCCAGTGAAAGGAGTAACTAACACAAGATCTCATTAGCATTTTCAACCTCCGGAGCTCAAGTGAGGGTGCCGCGTAATTAAACGACCGTTCCCTCTGCGCCCCGCCTTTGCGTCACGCGTGGTCTGTGCTCACTGCCATCTGTCAACCCCTGACACTTAAAATCCCTAGAAAACAAGGAGCAGAGAGACCTGCCCTTCTGAGAAAAGCTTCAGAGGGAGATTTTATACACAGAGAAGTTTTCCCATATGAAGCACAAAAGGCCCCCTTCCCTACCAGAGAAATCGTATTCACTAGACGCGCCTTTCCTGGCTCCTTTGGCTGTGACGAGTCAGTAAAAACCAAAACACAAGCAAAACCACCGACGAGGAAGCACCTCATGCTCACACTTTAACTTGACCTCCTTATCTACTTTACACGTCTGCAGCCTTGAAACAGATTATTATTTTCTCTTTGAATCTGGCTGTTCGGCAGCAGCCTCTCCCGTCCAGATCACGGAACCGGCACGTCCTAAGAGGCTGCACTTCAGCACTGGCCCCGAAATAAAGATGCTTTCTGTGCAGAAGCGGTGCCCGGCGCAGCATCCAAATTCTGCTCTCGGTCCCCACTCCAGTCCACCGCTTCCTGTGCTCCCTTCCGCGGGATCTGTTCCTTTTCCCCACTTGCTCCACGCCCAGCCTCGGCCTCAGCGCTTCCTCCTTGCTTCATCTCCAACTCACAACTTTCACCCCAAGAGTGGTCCATAAATAGGGGCTGGGGGGAGGGCGGTGAAGGCAGGCAGAGAGGATGTCCCTTCCCCCTCCCCAGGTTCAGGCTCCACCGGCAGCCCCGCCCCCGTACCGGCTGCCCGTTGTTCAGCAGGTCCTCCTTGAAGCGGAGCTTCCGTTCCAGGTCCTGAATGACAGCATCCTTGGAGCCCTGGATCTCCTCGTCCGAGGCGACCCTGGCGGGCCTGCCGGCCTTCTTGGGGTAGCCCCTGCGGGACGGAGCACGCAGGTCAGTCGTGGGCGCCCCAGTCCCGCCGGGACCTCGCGACATCGCGCCGCCCACCCCCGAGAGCGGTCCCGGGCCCCAGTGACACGGAAAGTCCACGCCGCCGGTGCGTCCGGGCTGAGATGGGGGCCCCGGCGGGGGCAGTGATGTAAAGTGAGAACAAGGCGCACGTGTAACGACCTGGGTTTCCGCCCGGGTCAGGTGCGCGACCCTGGGCCGCTGCCTCTGCCTGAGACCCCGAGAGGGTGTCCGGGAGGACGGATTCCTCGACTGTCCCCCTGGTCCTTGGGCGTCAGTTTGCCCAGCATCGGCGCCCCGCCCACCCGGCACAGGTGCAGCCTGCGCCTCCCCCCAGCCCCCCATCCTGATCTGGGGCCAGGGCTGGAGGTGGACAGGGGTCTGGAGGTGGACGGGGGACCCGAGTGACTTCCTTCCCACTTTCCCTCCTCTCCCTCACGGGGCTGCGTGCGTCCACGTGAAAGAGAAACGGAGCCCCGGACCACAGGGAAATGAAGGACCAAAGCTGCCTGTCAAGGACCTCATGTCAAGGTTAAAAAAACCAACGTTAGGAAGGCCACACACAGTGCACTCCCATTAACAACAGGCGAAGTGCAAGCTTCCCACTGCAAAGGGGTCCCTGGACCCGCCACATCGCCCCAGAAACTGAGAAATGCAGATTTCTGTCCCCCCGCCCGACCCACTGAATCAGAAACCCTGGGTGAGAGTTCAGCGATGTGCGTGGAACAAGCTGACCAGGTGATTCTGATGCAGATGAAAGTCTGAGAAACAAACGCAGGAAAATTCACGCACATAAAGTGTAAAGAGTAAGTAAGAGGGTGCCTGACTCAGAAATTTAGGGCGGTGGTTCCCTGGCGGGGGGGGGGGAAGCAGGGGGGACATGCATGCCGGGGTGGTGGGGGAGGGTCACACAGGGAGCGTGAAACGTACTAGAAACAGGTGAGACCTTCACTTTACTGCTATCCTGTACATTCTACCAACACCTGCACGCACTTCCTTCTCTGTACTCTATTTTATGAGCCGTTTCTCAGGGGAAAAGGTTTACTTCGCTGCCAAAGTGCCAGTGCATCCAGGCCTGAGACCTCTTTGCGGGCGTAAAGTAAGGGTGTGCGTGTGAGGTCGGAGTGAAACCAAGATGGAGCATTTGTAAAGGCAGCACCAGGGCAGAGGGGGTCACAAGCTTTTGAGGCAAATTTCTGGCAACTGAGTGCACTTCTATAAAATGAGTCCCGTGCTGTTGTCTGACATGGAGCAGCCAGGGTGTGATCCCCCAAGTGGCACCTACTTCTGAGGAACAGAGTAACTGGTGACAAAGAGATGCCTTCCCTGCATGACGCTTTGTACAATTACAGAAATAAAATGCACACTCCAAGTAAACTGTTACCCCAACCAGAACTCATCAGAGAACCCTCCCCAGCACACGGGGACCACTGGACAACCACACTCGCCCTGTGCACGGACACTCCAGGGACACGCTCTGCTCAACTGTGCAGAAGCACCATCACCCATCCACTCCGGCTTTAACGTGATGCCACCAACTGTTTTAAATAACGTTCTGGTGTCTGGGGGTAAAAACAGCCCAAACATGCACACCGGCATCTGGAAGGTTGAATCTTCCAGAATGAACGATTCCAAATCTCGGGAAGTCTCTTCTTCCCTTGGCTACTGAGTGAGCCTGAAAGCACCCCTTGATGGACTGTCCCAGGTGGACATGGTCAGCACATCTCAGAGACGCAGCTCAGGGCACGACGTGACATAGGAGGTGGTGGGTTTGTCTGGCAAGCAGGTAATTTTCTAACCCAAGAGAGCATTTCCTCCTCCTCCTCCCACATTCAGAGAAATCGAACAGAAACTAAATTCCACACAGTTGCAGAGTTAGTAGAATCATCAGCACGTAGGTATCCCTCCTCGTCAGTTCTCTGCCGGCGACCCCACCAGCCCCGGGGAAGAAAGAAAGGCCCCAGGGGACCTAGGTGGGCAGAGGCTCCTGAACCTCGTCAACCTCCAAGGGCACTGCCGTGGGGATAGGCCACTGCCCTGCTCCTTCCCAACCATGAGGGTCATCACTGCGTCCCCAGCCCCTGCCCCACCCCTGCCGCCCAGACGTGAGAAACAGAACCTCACCTCCACACACACCTACTCCTCTACAGATAAAAACAGGACAGTGCAAACCTACAAACGATACAACATCCACTTCTGCATCTGATGATTAAGAAAATGGAGGTATATTAAACTCAGATTTAAGACTTACACAGACGAGAAAAAGCCCAACTAATATATTTCTACTTTACTGAGCCACATGAAGTCAGTCCATTTACTGGCACGTGACATACAAAAAAAACCATCCTACTAGGAAATAACTAACATGCAAGTGAAACTGAGTTTGCCGTCACCACAAGTGCCTGATAAAATATGAGTAAGTTATTGAAAAGATTCCCCTGACAACAGTTTGGCAGTTTCTACCAGTTCAAGGATGCCAACTGGTCATGGCAGCCCTGAAAAGGACACTCAGTCTCTGGCAAATTATCTGAATTACCATGATGGATAAACAGCTACTTTTTCATTTTTAATTCAGGACACAAATGAGTAGATCCCACAGTATGCTAGAGGAAAAGTATTTCCAAAATTAAACGTATCAAACCAATGGAATGAATGCTTCAAGTGTGTGTGGGTGACTGTAGATGAGTGGCCTCTGGGCTGGGGCTGCCACTGGACTCTGGCGTCACGGGGCCTAGCCATCTCTGGGCGCGAACACAAAATCAGCCCCACTGCTCCACCAAGTTCTAAGAAACGGCAGGAGCAACCGGCCGCTTCTGGGGTAACAATCATAAAATGTTCTGACTCCATAACGTAAGTCACCGTCATACATACGGATAAGAAGCAAGTGATTCTATTCCTTAAGATAAAGCCCTTAAAACTGCTTAAAAGAATTTCAAAGGCAAAGAGCAGATTAAACTACCCTTTCTATTTAAGAAGATAGTAGGTACAACCCCCCGGCCTCAGGCTGACTCATGTCTGATCAGATTCCAAATGAGGACTATTAGCACGATGGTTTATTGGGTACGCATCTTCCCAAGAAGCAAGATTCCCTGCCGTTCATAGCAAGAGAGGACAGAGAGTATTAACTAAACACACTCCCACTTTCTGAACCTAACAGTTGGCTTCTTTGTAGCAAGATAATGCTCATCTCCTCCCCACCAAATAAAAGCTCAGAAGAGGAGACCAGGCTTCCTCAGGCAACTTCTAACCAAAGCCCATTATGACATCACTGTTACCCAGACTCCCCTTCCTTAAGTGACTTCTTTATGTTTTCCTTTGACTGAGCTTTCTCCAGTAAAAGATCAGAGAAGCAGCCAGACTTGAAACAGAATTCATGCCATCAACACTCAGAAAGTGCCTGATAAAACAGGACACTGCTAACCCAGGCTCCAGGACACACCAGGTCGTGATCCAGCGCCCCCCTCTTCTCGAAGGCGGGGCACACCCCCGACCGGGAAACTCTCTCAGGAATGAAAGTATCCGGAGTGCCAAGGTCTTCTCACTTTCCTCCCAGTACTCAGCCCTCCTCCGGGTTTCCTTCTTTTCTCTCTGAACAATATTGGGATTCTGGCAAGCTCTGGGGCGGGGTTTCAACAGGAAGGGTTGAGATAGGGAACCGGCTGACCTCTGCCAGCGCTTATTTCTCATCCCTTCAGGTACATGGGCACGCGCCAGCTCGGAATCCTTTACACTTCAACAGAACGTGCCAAACCCCTGTATTAAGGTTTCCTCTGAGGCTTTCCTGAGGATGTCACCGTACTTCTCCTAGAGTTTCTACGTGAAGGTTGTGGAGAACTGCCGCGTCATCGCTGTAACGTAATTAAAGACTTGGACTGGGACATGGGACCCTCAATCCCTGCAGACAGCACGGCTGGGGACAGGGCTAACTGCACCATGCTGGCTGGGGACACGGCTGGGGAAGTGGGCACAGGGCCTCACTTCTCTGCACCAACGTGAAGCCACTTGTCCCCTTCCAGTCAATCACTACACATTCGAGCTAAAGTGTGTGACTTGCAGGTGTCGAGCAGACTTCGTGATTCCTGTAAGGGGGAGATTTCACACCCCGTCCGTGTCCCTCCTGGGGTGCGCTCTCAGACCCGCGGCCCCCTCCCCAGCCCGAGGACCGCTCTGCGCCAATGCAGGGGTGCAGGGACCGGACGGGGCGGGACAGACACTCACGCGGCCGGGGCAG